TAACCCTAACCCTAACCCTAACCCTAACCCTAACCCTAACCCTAACCCTAACCCTAACCCTAACCCTAACCCTAACCCTAACCCTAACCCTCATGCAGCAGGGCGACCCGACTCTACGGCTGCGTTGCTTCCGACAGTGACCGTCCTGGATGCGATCGACGACCTTCCCGCCTTCGACTGGAAGGACCCGCACCTGATCTACGCTGGACCAGACGAGATCGAGCAGACAAGCCAACAACAGGGCATCCCGCAGCTCGAAGTCAGCTCAGGAATAGCAACTGGCTCTGTCGCTGCGCAGTACAGCAAGCGACCATCAAACTCATTTCAAGAGCGCATGCGCGTCTTTGCAGGCCACATGACACGATCAGTCTCACAACATCAGACGTCCGGCCCAAGCGCCACGGATGTGGAACAGGTGGTCAACGTCGCCTTGCGTCCCGGCGCCAACTACGACTCGTGGAGCCAACCTGAGGTCAACAAGCCCGCGCTACTCGGCCCTCTCCAGGTGAGTATTGTCGCAATCAAGTTCCCCCGATAGACTGCTTGCTGACCGCCTTTTGCCATTCCACAGCTCAACCGTTGGCAGGACTGATACTTCAAGTACGAACGCATCGATGGCAACAGGTACTTCACGGTGCTCCTCACCGACGCCTCGGCCAAAGGCAGCATGATCCACCCAGCTCAGTTCCGACTGTTTGTGGTGCAAGAATGTGCTCGAGCGCAAGGCGTTCCGGACTGGATCAAGTTTGCCACCGACGGCAACCTCAAGTCTGCCTATCGACAGATTGGCAATGCGATGCTGGAGGCGCTTGCCGTTGCAATTGGTGAGTCGATCACGTCCGCAAGGCTGTTGTAAAGTGATTGTGCACCAGATGGCCCGCAAGGTCGGAGGGTTAGCTTTGGCCGTTGCTCGCTTGCTCGCCGCCCTGGTACCTGGTACCTTGAGGCACCAAAGTACGACGGCAAGGTTAGCTGCTCCCATCCACGGCGGCCGACAAGGCTGTTGCGGCAAGCTGGGCGGGTGCCAACCGCATGGGACAACGACAACCTCCTCGCCGCGGCAACTTTGGCAGTCGCTCAAACGATTGGACACTGCAGAGCGATGCAGGCGTACTTGAGTCCTAGCTGCTTCGCAAGGTGATCGTGCACCAGATGGCCCGCAAGGTCGGAGGGGACGCTTCGGCAGTCGCTTGCTTGCTCGCTGCCCTGGTACCTTGAGGCACCAAGGTACGATGGCAAGGTTAGCTGCTCCTGCCCACGGCGGCCAGCAAGGCTGTCGCGGTGGGGTGGGCGGGTGCCGACCGCATGGGACAACGGCCACCTCCTCGACGCTTCCTTGTGAGCTTTGATTTGGACTGTGATCTTGGTGTCCAAGGCGGGAATAGCTGGCTAGATGACATTGGCGCGGCGTGCATGGCGGTACACAATCAGGCTCCAATGCCCGCTGTCAAATACTGCCAATGTTGGTTTTCCATTTATTTTTCTTTTTGATTTTCCAAAGCAGCCGTGACGCCTTGCAATCAAAGCATGCAGCTTCCATCCTTGATGTTGCCAGGGCCACGCCAGTAGCACAGCAGAAGCACTGGTGAAAGGATCCCACAGACAATGCTGATTTGCACTGCGCCTGACTGCATCAACTCGCAGGCATGCCGAGAGGCAAGAACGGACAAGGAGCTGCAGCGCGTCATTTCATTTTTGATTTTTTGTTTCTTTCTTTGATTTTTTTGATTTTTTGATTTTTGGTTGTTTCCTTTTCACACCACGTCAGTTCTTGCTGACCTCCCCTTTGTCCTTTGGACAAGCAAAGCGGACAGCGAGAACAGCCTTTGTGGGTGTTTGATTGCATGAACCAACCAAGTTGGAGCAGGCAGGCTTTTCCGTGTTGGCTGTACGGAAAGATCAATGTTCCGCCCAAGCTCCTGCCTCTTGTCATGTACGATGGCTCGCTCATCAAGATCAGCTGCCTCAACAGCGATACCCTTGAGTCCATTCTTGCTAGTCTAGACCAGCTTGACCCGACCGCACCCTTTCTTTGTCAAGGTCGAATCCAGAGGCTTTCCCTTTGAATTGGCGTTCTGGTTGCCGACAGGCTGTCAAGAGGCCAAAGACAAAACAGAGCTTCTCAGCGAGCTCCTCGAGTACATCAAAGAGAATCAGGACCCACCCCGCAAATTCCAGGTGGTCCGGGTTTGATTCTCCAAAGAGGTGGACAGCGATGCGCCGAGGAAATTTGCTGGCGATCTCATCACCCTGACCAAAAGACGACGCGCAATCATCGACGACAGTGCTCCTCTGCGCTTTCGAGAGAGCTTGCTGGACTGGTGGTGCACACATCACCGCTGTGCCCCTTCACACAATTTTCGTTGCTGCTGAATGACTACCATTATGTTCTACTTCAAAAGGTGCAGGAGATGAGACTGGAGGAGAAAGGAAGTTGTCCGAGGCCCGGCTTCCGGACCTTTGCCTTTTCGTGGCCCCTTTTTTTCCAGGCATTTTCCTTTTTCTTTTTGCTGGAAACCAGAAGCCTTTTGGGCACGAGCGGATCCCCTTTTTTGCCGGAAAAAAATGCCAGAAAAGAAAGCTCTTTTTTGGCCGGAAAATCATCCTTTTTCTGCCGGAAATTCAAATCCTTTTTGCCAAGAAAAGAAATCTTTTCCCTCAAAAAATCAACCCTTTTTTGCCGGAAAATCAGCCAATTTCCGCCAATAAATCAGGTCTTTTATGCCAAAAATCAACTTTTTTCTGCCGGAAAATCAACCATTTTTTGGGCGAGCAGATTGGGCTCGTCGCAGTCCACATTGGCTCCGGCAGGCAGGCCTCTTCCGGGTCCAACCCTTGTCGGCCATCAAGTCAGCCTGTGCTTGACCTGTCAGCTCGTGGCTCCGTCCTGTGCTTGCTTGCCAGGCTTGCTGTGCTCGAGCGACCCGACCAAAAGCCGCAGCAGAGCAAACAAACCGGCAAAGCTCGCACCATAGCCTTGCACGAGCAAAGATCGCAGAGTGGCGCCTTGCCTCTGCTGGGTTCCGCACACAATCGCTGCTCTCCCAGCGGCAGCGGCGAGCGACGCTGGCGTGCCTGCTGGCTCGCTCGCTTGCTTGCTCGCTTGCAGCGTGGCGGCCCATTTTCCGTCTCGAGCGGTGTTGGTTTTCCGCCGCCGTCTGCGTCGCCTCCACCTTTTCCGCCCAAGTTGAAATCCAATTTCATTCTGGCGCGGCACTGGACCAGTCTCCATTTTTGTTCCGGCACCCAAGTTTCAAACCGCGTCGCCCTCAAATTTGGCAGGCGAAAATTTCTGTCGCCCGCCAAGCCGGACAACGGCCTAGGGCTAGGGGATTCCTGACTGGACGCATGCTGATAGGTCAGATAGGCACGGCACACCCTGGTCAAAGACAAAGGGAGATGGTGTTGGCGATGGTCACGGCAATGTGCGGTGATGAACAAAGGGATCCAGTGCGGCCCGGGGTGTGTCTGATCAACTGACGCGCTGAAAAGCTGACGCGCTGAAAAGTTGACGCGCCAGAAAGTGGAGATGCTGATCTGTAGACTTGGCGGCGGTCTGACAGTCAGAGAAATTGGACGTGCTGGTCAATTGATGCGTTGGCGGTCTGACAGACAGAGAAAATGTTGCGCTGACGGTCTGACAGACTTGAAAAGTCACAGTTGAATGGACGGTCTGACAGATGGAGGAAATGGCGGTCTGACGGACAGGCAATGGACCAACGGACAAACGCGCCAGATCTGTACTTTGGGCATGGCGCCAGTGTGAAAGTTGGATTTGTATGTTGGGCACTGAACCAGTCCTCCACATTTGACCGCCGCCCAGCCAATTTCCTGGCAATTTTGACACGTCCGTCGCCCATTGCCCGTTGCTCCTGCCAAAAAAAATTTCAGTCCGTTGCTGCACTGGACCAGTGTAAAATGGCGTGTCTGTTGGACCAATGTGCAAATGGAGGGGTCGGCCATTTGGCAGGGAAAATCGCAACGGACTTGACCGTCGTCCCTGACCGACGCCCCACGGCCTAGGGCTAGGGTTGCAGTTGCAAGCTCATTTGGCAACTTGGACCGTCAATTGCTCATTTGATTGCCTGCGCGATTCTCATCACGTCGAGACAACATCAACTTCCATACTAGATGCTGTACGATTGAAGACAGCGTTCATGTGCGAATGATAGCGATAGTGGAAATATGGTGCGAAGCACGGTGCGAACGAGGTTGCGAATGACATAGCGGAATCTAATCATCCTTTCCCTTGGCCCAGTCGATCCTTCTATCGTGCTCGAGTGCCTTTGGCTGAGGGTTTATCGTGCTGGCTTGCGATGAAAGCGGGCCAAAGAGATGGGCTGATGCGGCGTGCGATGGCGGCGGGGGCGGGAGTGTGCGCACGGCTGGACTTGGGTGCGATCGAGGTTGCGTGCGTGGTGGCGGGCCGAGGTTCGAAGCTCTTGGCAAGATGGCCTTGGCACCACCGCTGCTGCCGCCGAAGGCACCTCCGAGAGCAGCTTCGACGCTGATCCTACCGCGAATCGTGTCGTCGATTAATTTGCCAAATCCACCATTGGCAGCGCTTTTCCTGCTGCTGGATGCTGCGCTGCTTCCATTGGCCACGCCGGGAGGACCGCCGGGCAGCGAGTCGCCAAACTGAATCGGTCTGGCCCACTTGCTGGCTGCACCAGGATTAGCGGGCAAGCCAGCGGCGAGATCGTACAGCAAAGGATGCGACCTCTGGGCCTGTCTTTTGCGATATGCTTTGCCTCCATCGTATGCTCTGGCGACGATGGCGTCGGGTGGTGGTGCGTCGTTCCAGCCCTGGTACTGGCTCGTCGAAGAAGATGTGGGCGTAGTGTTGCTGCTCTCGAAGGCGGTGGCTCGACTTCGATGACTTGGCTTGCGCTTGGGCTGGTTGGCAGCGCTACCGAAATGCCAGGTGTTGGGCTTCCAGTCTTCTTCGTCGTCGTCAAAAGCCGAAAAGGTGCCAATCGACGTCGAACGGCTCAGATCTGGGCGAGCTGCGTTGCTGCTGGCAGCAGGCGTGAGACCGTTCTGGTGTTGTTCGGGCTGGGCTGCCATAGCTAACAAGTCGTCGATGCCACTTTCGCCAGGCTGATAGCCAATGTCGCCGGGACCTGGTTTGAGGCTACCAGAGGCTGAAGTTTTCGCGTCGCTGGCGAAGAACTTGAGCTGATCGGCGGGCACTTTGGCGACGTGGAGTGGCTGTCGTGGTGGGACGAATCCTGAGCTAGCTGCCGAAGCAGATGCTGCGATGCTGGGCGTGTTGGAGCCTCCGCCGATACTGCTAGCAGCCCTTCTGCCGCTGTGACTGGAAGCAGTGTTTTGCTGACCGAGATTGCGAAGCGCGGGCGTGAGACTGGCCGGATACGGCTGCTTGCTGGGACTGAGAGCGCCGGCGGGTGTGAGTGATGTGCCAAAAGCAGGTGCCGCTGAGTCGATGTACGCTTTGTTGGTGTCAGGCATGAAGTCGCTGACCGGATCAGAGACACGCATGGCAGCTAGGCTGTCGGCCATGAGGTTGGGCTGCGCTATCTCTGCGTACGGAGTGCCGGTGAGAAAATCCTCCTCTTCTGCGCGAGGCACAAAGACGAGCGTGTTCGGTCCGGCTGCAGAATCATCGGACGAGACGACGCCTCCTCTACTGTTGACGATTCGGATCTCTGCGTTTGGCGGACGATGCTTGCAGCTGTCGACTGGGACGTAGATGACTTTGCGAATCTGGACTGGATCCGCAGGCCAGAGCTTGTTGGATTTGCGCAGCACCTGGATGTCTGCTCCGTAGTGGAGCGCCAAGGAGTGCAGTGTGTCAGTGGGGGCGACTGGATGAATGAGGACTCGCACTTGATCTGCATCGCTCGAAGTGGCTGTGGTGCTGGTGGACTGACGCTGTGATCGCGCAGTCGTCGAGGGCTTCGAAGAAGATGAAGGCGGCTGCTGCTGGTGCTGTTGCTGCTGGTCTTTGAGTCCGAACCAATCCTCCAGGCGGACGAGCGTGCTTTCGACGGGGTCATAAGGACGGCCCTTGTTCGGGTCGTCGCTGTACTTGCCATTGTCCTCAGAAGCGGGAAAAGCTGATCGTCGAGAGGAACGTATCGAAGGATGGGAAGACGCTGGATCGGCAGGCCATCGGTAGCTGGAAGAGCTCGCGTTGGGCTCTGAGCCTCCGAAGAGACCAGCGAGGCCGGCACCGATAGCCTTCCATTCGGAGGCTACTGCTGAAGGTCTTCGTGGAGCTGCACCGGGACGATTCGAGTTGGACGGGCCAGCAATTGCTTGCGATGGAGAAGGAGACCGCAAGGGATGTCGATCTACCACCTGTGCTTCGGTGGCGAATGAGGGCGATGACCTGCGGCTGCGCACCTGTGGCCGCTGCGAAGAAGTGGAAGGGTGAAGGAACCCCGAGTTGGTAGGCGTCGCCCAAGGATCGAAATCGTCGTTTGCAGCGACTGCGTTGGGGCTAGGATCCGCAGATGATGTGGAGAGCCATGGTGACGACGTCGACATGATGTGAGCCTTGTTGCGCCTCGCCAACACTACGCATCGGGATGAAGGGACGAGACTAGCGCCGCAAGTGCAATGGTGTCATCGGAAATGGAACGTCAGCGCAGATGAGGATGGTGAGATTGGCGCGGCTGTGTTGGTTGCTGAGCTGGGGCACGAGTCGGATGAGGTTTGCTGGTGGCAACGATCGCAGATAAGCAGGTCTTGCGGTGTGATGGGATGGGAAGAGAGGCTGAAAGATGATAAAGTGGATGTGATGGAATCAACGATGGTCGCTGAGCTTGAATTGACTTCCACTGAGAAGCTGCTGCTGATGCGCGTGTGTGTGTTGGTTGGACAGATGTCGGGACTCTTGCCGAGGTTGGGCACTGACCAAGTTTCGCGCTGCAAACTAACACGCTCCCGTGTCTAAAATTGCTCTTCGCCTCTCTCTCTCTCTGCCTGTTCAACTGCGTTCGCGTGTCACTTTTTGGTTGTGACGCTCGCTCTCATACCAACTCGGTTCGAGCCTCGCTGCTGATGCAGAAAAGGCGTCTTCATCTTCCACCTGGCGGTTCCACTCACATGATCGCAAGACACACACCGACGACACTGACTGACTGACACTGGCAAGACCTTTTCATTTCGGATAGAGAACATGCGTCAACAGCTTTCGCTTGCTCGCGACTCAACGACGGTAGTCGTATCCATGCGACGACGGAGGGGGAGGAGGCGGTGGGTACGACTGGTATCCTCCGTAGCCAGCTCCACCGGGCGGAGGCGGAGGTGGCGGGTAGGCGTACCTGCCATCCCGATATTCACGGTCTCGTCCCTCGCGGTATGGCGAATCGCGACGATCACCGTAGCCGGGCGGGTAAGGCTCGCGTCCACCTCCGTAGTGGTGCGCAGGCGGTGGCGGCGGAGGAGCGTGGTGGCTGCCGTGTCCGTGTCCACCTGCACCAGCACCAGCACCATAACCGCCTGATTGCTGCGGTGGTGGCGGCGGGTAGTACGAGGGAGGGTAAGGCAGGTTGGCGCCGCTGGGCGAGCCGCTGTATCCGTTGCCGTAGCCACCGCGACCACCGCCACTAGACGATGGCTCCATCGACGTGCGTGGCTTCTTGGGGATCGGTGCATCCTGCAGCGGGTTGGCTTTTCGCTTGACATCGCTCGAAGCAGCGGGGTGGTGAGCCGATCCGTTCTCGCCCGTTCCTTCGGCTGCAACCGATTCCGACTTGACTCGCGCGCTGGGTGCGGGCGATGCTGCTCCGCCACCCGTGGCTCCCCCTGCTGGTGTCGATGCCTTTGTCGGTGCTGCTGGTGTTCCGGTCGTCGGCGCTGGTGTGGGCGTCGATGCTGCAGGTCCGTTCATGACGAGCTTGTTGAAGATGGCCCGCAGCTTCGAAGGCTTGACCTTCTTCGGCCAGAAGAATGCACTGAATGCCCACAAGTGATGGAACCATCGATTCTTCTCCTTGGCCGACAAGCTCGCAAACTTGCTCTCTAGCAGATGGTCAATGTGACCACCGATCGCCGACAGGCATTCTTTGAGCACCGTCACCTTTTGATCGCGTTCGAGGTGATCCGTGCCGTCACGCAAACGCTTGAGCTGCTTCTTGCACGGTCGCATCAGCTCCTTGCACTCGGCTTCGTCCATGCTCGCGTATTCCTCGTCGTCCGAGTCCGACGAGTAGACGGGAGCAGGTCGCTTCTTGTCCGACGCAGCACCACCTCCGCTCGCTCGTCCCGCTTTGCCCGCAGGAGCAGGCGAGTTGGTCGGCGAGGTGCTCTTTCGCGCCTTCTTGCTGCTCTTTGGTCCTCCTTCCGCAAGACTCTTCTGATACGCCTTTGCATTGTCGTCGTACTCGCGCAACACCTTGAGCAGGTAGTCACCTCGACGAACGAGGTGGATCGCGTTGGGGATAGGTCGGGGCTTGCCTTGAGGTGGACCCGAAGTGCCGCTTCGAGGGGCGTCCTTCTCGGCTGCGTGCGGCTCTTGGTTGGCTTTCTTGCCCTCTTCCAGGAAGAACTTGCCTTCCATGCCGAGATCCGGGTCCGTCTCGATCTGCTCCCAGGCACCGAAGCCGTACCTCCAGATACCGACCAAAAGCATGGCGTCGTCCTTAGCATCCCAGCCACCGGCCCAGTTGAGCGTGGCCTTGAGATGCTCGGATGGGACACGCCAGTCCAGCGGCTCCTCAGCGTTGTCCAGCGTCTCGGAAAGCAGACGCAAGTCGTAGTGTCGAATGAGCACCGTCTCGGCGTTGATACCTGTGATACCGCGGCACGACACCAGGACCGCCTTTTGTCGGAGCGCAGACGAGATCTCTTCGCCTCGCTCCTGCTTGCCCTTCATGAAGGCCTGGTGCTCGGCGACGGCATCTTCGCACGTCTTGACCAGCTCGTCCGAGATCTGATAAAGGACCTGTCGGTTCTTGTCCTGCAGCTTGCCCTCCTTGATGATGGGCTCCCCCTTGTATCGAATGTCACCCCATCGCTGGATGCCGCGGATGAGCACACGCAGGTCGCGCTCCTTCATCTCGACAGAGCGCTGTGCTGCTGTCTTTCGCGAACGCTTGGCGGCATCTTTGGAGGCACCAGGAGACGTGGCTCGATCGTCGCCTTCGCCGTTGTCGTAGGCACCAGGGGCCACTTGAGCAGCAGCGCGCCTTCGCGAAGAGCTGGCAGCTGCGGCAGCCTCCTCGACCGCCTTTTTGCGCTCCTCCTCTTCCACTTTCTGGCGCTCCTCCAGCGGAATGATGTCGTCCCAGCTCACATCCGCTTTGAAGTCTTGCACCTGAGCGAACGATTTGAGGAATTCCTGACCACCGGCGGAACTGCCCGTAGGATCCACCTCCGTCTCGTGAGCCTCGGCGTGGGAGAGGATGTCGTCCAGATCCATCTCGTCGAGCTTCTTCTGCTGACCGTCCTCGTTCTCGCTCTTGAACATGTTTTGCGCGCCGAACTTGAGAATGGCTCCGAGCTCCTCCTTGCTAAACTGCTGCGAGTTCTTTGCGGAGCCTTTGGGCGCAAAGTTGGTTCCAGAGGTGTCCATCTGGTGGATGATGGCGTACTCGAGCACCATCTTGCGCTTGGCACGCTCCAGCACGTCTTCTTCGACCGTGTCCTTGGTGAGCAGGCGGAAGACGCTGACGTGGAACTTGGAGTTGAGTCGATGAGCTCGCGCCATGGCCTGCAGGTCGTTCTGCGGGTTCCAGTCGCTGTCAAAGATGATGACCGTGTCGGCAGTCTCGAGGTTGATGCCCAGACCACCGGCACGGGTCGAGAGCAGGAAGGCAAAGTCGGGCGAGCCCTCGGCGTTGAAGTGCTCGATGGCCTTCTTCCTGATGTCGGACGAGACGGTGCCGTCGAGGCGCTGATGAATGTAGCCGCGAAGGGACATATAGTCGGACAGGATGTCGAGCATTCGGACCATCTGACTGAAGATGAGCACACGGTGTCCGTCGGCCTTGAGTCGTGCCAAGAGCTTGTCGAGCAGGACCATCTTGCCGCTGTGCATGACGAGTCCCTTCAGCGTCTCTTCGCGACTATCCGAGATGGCTTCGGTCCCGTCAAAGAGGTACGGGTGATTCGACGCCTTCTTGAGCTCGACTGCGATGTTGAGGAGCGAGAACTGGGCTGTACTTGCGCCGCTGAGCAGCGAGTAGTTGCGCGTGAGGATGGCCTTGTACATTCTCTGCTGCATGGCCGACATTTCGACTCGAAGAATCTTTTCGGATTTGGTGGGGAGCTCCTTGACGACATCCTTCTTGAGACGCCTGAGCATGACGTTGTCGAGCTTCTCGTGCAACTCCTTGATGACGGTCTGGTCCACGTCGTTGATGTCAAAGTCGACATCAAGGTCGAATTGATCGGGTCGGAGGAAATGCAGCAGGGCGATGAGTTCCTTGACATTGTTCTGGAGCGGCGTGCCGGTGATGAGCAGCTTGCCAGCAGCATGGAAGCTGTTGAGCGCCTCGTAGAGCTGTGCTTCCGAGTTCTTGAGTCGATGAGCTTCATCGACGGCCAAGTACTGCCACTTGATGCCGCCGAGCTCGGCACGGTCCTTGAGAATAAACTCGTAGGTGGTGACCAGAACGTTGAACTTCATTTTCTTGGGAGGGCCAAACTCGTACTCGCGGATCATGTCTCGGCTGGCACTGTTGCCCATGTAGGCGATGACGTTGAGGTCGGGTGCCCAGTGCTCGAACTGGTTCATCCAGGCCGGCAGCGTCGACAGCGGCACGACGACCAGGAAGGGTCCGTATTGATAGCATGAGTGGAAGAGGTACGAGAGGAACGACACGGTCTGAACCGTCTTGCCCAGACCCATCTCGTCGGCGAGGATGCCGTTTTCGTTCTTGCTCCAGAGATAGGCGAGCCAGTTGAGACCGGTCATCTGGAAATCCTTGAGAGTTCCTGCGCTGATGAAGGCAGGCTGCTCGGTCATGCGCGTGTACTTGGGACGTCCCTGCGAGAAGTTCTGCGAGCGCCAAGGGACGGTGTTGGAGGCAGAGCGCTTGAGGTAGGCGGCGATGGCGTCCTGAGCGATCTCCTTGATCTCTTCCTCTGCTTCCCAGGTGCAATCGCTGTACGGCAGGCCCTTCCACTTGACGAGGAAGGCAAGATGCGGATACGCGATCTCCTTGTTGGCTTCGTTGTCGCGCTGCGCGATGATGCGCTCCACGGTCTTGAAGCTCTCGATGAGCTCGACTTGCCTCTCCTTTTCGATCTGAAGCGCTTCAATGTCCTCGCGAGAGACGCTCGGGTCAGCTAGGAGGGCCTTCTCGCGAAGGAAGACGGACTTGATGTAGTTGTCGACTCGCTTGAAGCCCTTGTAGCGCTTGAGAAAGTCATAGGTCTCGTGCGTGTCGTGGAGATGAGAGTAGCCTTTCCACTTGACGATGAAGCGCAGATTTTGGGTGGGGATGTCCTCTTTGTCGGCGAGACGATCTTCGTGTCGTTCGTGGCCTACGATACCTTCGATGACATCCTCCTCCTCGATGTCACCAGCTTGCTCGGCCTGTCTCTGTGCCTGCTCGTCGGCCTCGTCTTCGAAAGGGTCGTCGTCGCCGAGATCAGCATAGTCGTCCGTGTAGTTGGGGATGCGCCTGCCGTTCCTGCTCGAGACGCGAGAGGCCTCAAGGTCGGCAGAGGAGAGCCGAGCAGCAGCTGAGCGGATTTGCTTGCGCTTCTTCTTGGACTTGGCAGGGCCAAACTCGTCGTCCTCATCGCCATCGTCCTCATCTTCGTCATCGTCGTCGTCGGCACCGTCGTCATCGCTGGCCTGCACCGAGCTACGAATCGAGGCGCGACCGCCTTTGACGAGATGACGACGTCTGGAGGAGACGGAAGCATCGGCGTCGTCGGAGTCGGCGCCTTCCTCGTTGGGATCGGTGTAGGACTTTCTGCTGGCACGGCCGGATCTTCGGAGACCATAGAGGTCTGGATCGCTCTCGGCTTCGAGGAGGTGCTTGCGGTCTGGCTTGACCGAGGACCGGGAGGGAGAGCTGTTCCTTGACGAGGTTGGCGAAAGTGCTCGGACGCGTTCGAGCTGCTGGTGACTAGGCTTGGAGTTGTCTGCCCTGCTGTGGTCATCATCATCATCGTCGTCTTCGTCATCATCATCTTCTTGGTCCTCGTCCATATCGTCGGCTGAATCTTCTTTGGCGGAACGAACATCCCCCTTCTGAGATACGTCGGACAGCGGAGAGGAGTCGCGTCGAGAACGGCTGAGCTTGGGTTGCTCAGAGTCCTCTGCCTTGGTCGGGATCGAAGTCGAGGGCTTATCGCGCGAGGGCGATGACTGCGCATCGGCTTCGCGCTTGACAGCGTCTGATGTTGCCGACATGGTTCAAACGCGTCGGCGAAGATCAACCTCGAAGAGAATGGTGATGAATTGCTTGCCAGATGGACGATGACGGGCGGGAATGAAGGGGAGGTATGCCTAGGCGCTGCCGGGGACCGCAGCGTCGACGAACGAATGTGGTGAGAGCGGGCGGAAACGGAGACGGAGAGTGAGACGGAAGATGCTTGCGTGGTGTGATGTGCTGCGCGGCGTGGAATAAGATGTAGGCCAAGGTGACGAAGCTAGAGGAGCATGCTGCGAGGGATGGTGAGAGTCAAGATGCTGGTGATGAGAAGGGTGATGATGATGAGAGACGGACAGATGGCGGAGACTGCCAAGAGCGGACTTGACTCAGCCTTGCGGGCGGAGGGAGCGGACAAGCCGACGAGGCCGATAGTGTGGGAAGTGTCGTGAATGCTGAGTGATGATGGCGAAGGGACGACGTCGGAGAGGAGCCGGTAGTGTGGGACCGGGAAGCGAGTAAGCGAGAGTGGGCGGATCAGTGAGCGCTCAGCTGAACCGTGCAATGCCGAAGGAATGTGAGGGGCAAGCAGGTCGGGTTTCACCGGTCAACGGCAGACGAGGTCTGTTTGGGACGAGAGACCGCAGAGATCTCTCTGGTCGATGGTGAAGAGACAAGAAGGGTGATGTCGACGACGACGAGAAAAGCGAAAGAGTGCGTGACTTAGCCAAACTCAAAACTCAGCGTGGCTGGCTGCGAACGGTGTGGGACTGCCTGGGCCAACTGGGCCGAACTTGAATTTCGCGGTCTGCAACCGGCGCCAAAGCGCAAGAGAGAGTTCGCGGTCGCGATCAGACGTCTCGAGCTGGCCGGTGCCGGACGACGACGGGCTCACTTTTTTTTTCCACTGAATTTCCAGTGTCCGTCGCGACTTGAGCTGAGCCGAGGGAGAGGGAAGGAAGGCCCTGGCGTCGAGCGAGCTTGGCTTGGCTCGGTTGCTTCCTTGCTTCGTGCGGAGTGCGTGTTCCTATTCCTGATATTCGGGCTCATCCTTCTCGACTCGACTTGAATTGGAATTTGTAGACGAGGACCGGCCAGAGTTTAAACTCAAGCGGCAGGGGAACCAACTCGACGTTGACCTCGAAGCAAGCTTTGTCGCTGCAAGGACGGTGCCGAGTCGTGTCTACAAGAGCAGAATGACCCGAAGTCGCCATTCCATGGTGACGCCGCTTGGTTGCGGCCGATGAGCTCGAGTGACAGTTGACCGCCATCACAATGACTCTGCCTCTTGTCGATGCCGTCAAGCAAAGCAACGACGTTGCCGTCAACGTTGTTGTTGGGCAGGTCACTTCGCTGTCGGCTTTGTCGGAAGGCTGCCGAATAAAGCATTCAAAGGAGACGATCACTTGTCGTCTCTCTCCTTTCCCTATCCTTCGGCTTGGAACCGAGAAGCAAAAAATGATTTCTGCCGGGTTCGAACCGGCGACCTCCTCCGTAAGCCCTAACGATCTGAACAAAGAGACCAGAATTGTTAAGGAGACGCGCTAACCAACTGCGCCAAGAAACCTTAATTTTGAGGGCCCGGACAATGCACGTATATAACATCCTTACAGCTGCGTCCAAGTGGACACTTGAAGAAGAAAGCTCTTTGTGACGCGTGACGCTGACATGCACCGCGTAAATTGTGCTTTGGACGGGATGTCACAAGAGCGGATCTTCCGCTTCGGTTACGCTCCGCAGAAGCTGAGCAATTCCCAAGAGCAGTGGCGTGGCATAGCCAACTCACTCACTCGGAACGACCATCAGCTCACACGACTCCTTCGTTCGTCACATACATCGATTGCGGATCCGATCGGTCCGTCATTGGCTGCGCAGACAGCTCCGTGGCTTGGTGGCGTGAGCAATCGGATCATCGCGCGGCATCCCCGCAGCTGGCAACCAACCCTCCTCATGGCCTTCATCGCAAAATCCGACCATCAGCCACAATGCAGTCATCAATGACTACGCTCATGGACGACGTCACGGATCCCTCCGACTGGAAGCACGACTTCACCATTCTCAGAGATCTCGACGCTTCGCTGCGCTGTGACCTCTGCTTCGACATTTACACCTCGCCCGTCTCGATAAAGAGCTGCCACCACACCTTTTGCTCCACCTGCATCCGAACACATATCAATCAATCGGGCAACAGCGGCAGCTTCTGTCCCAAATGCAGGCAGATAAAGGCATACGACTCCGAACTCATACCTCAGCCTGTCCTCGAAATCACGGCGTTGGAATGGAAAAAGGCACGCTCTTTCCTCGCTCGCTTGCAGACAGAGCACGATCAGCCTCGTCTGCACCATGCTGAATCGAGCCGCGCGGCGGTGGCCAGCTCTTCCAAGCGTGCGCAGTCCGAGGAAGAGGGTCTTGCATCCGCATTACACGCAGGCGGGCCGAGTCCACGCAGATCCAAACGCATCAAGACAGATCTTCGCAGCTCCATAGCTGAGCCAGCAACCACAGGCTCGCGCTCGTCGCCTCTCACTATCGATGATGACGAAGATGACTTCATTCGCGGCTCAAATGACGAGCGTAGCTTGCGGCGCACACCACAACCTCGAGATGACGATGATCGCGATGCCGACTATACCGAAGGAGCAGCCAGCACTCGTTCATCGCCTTCAAAGCGGCGCGCAAACGGCGTCAGAGAAGAGTCTCCCACCGCGATCAATCCGGATCGAGAGCTCAAAGCGGACGATTTGGTCGAGTGTCCCATCTGCAGTCACAAGTACACCATCCTCGCTCTCAACGCGCATCTCGACGTCGCAAAATGCTTCGCCGGTTGTCCCGAGCCACCTCCTGAGCAGCGAGGTCTTGTAGCATCCAAACCCGCCAAGACGACCTCGTCTTGGTTTACGAAGGGCGCCGCTGCTGCCTCGTCGTCGATCAACTCAGACACAACATCGAGCATGGCCAACGAGAAGCGTCTTGTGCGCCCGCAGTACAATCTCAAATCTGAGCGCGATCTACGCAAGTTGCTCGACGACGCAGGGCTTCCCACCTCGGGCGATCGCGAAAAGCTCGTCGAGCGCCATCGTCAATGGATCAACATCTGGAACGCCAACCTCGACTCGACGAAAGCACGCCGCAGCGCAGCACAGCTCCGCAAAGACCTCGCTGCCTGGGAACGCACAAAGACGTCGGCAAAGGATCACTCGGCCCACGTCGATCGTCAAAAGACGACTTGGGTCAAGACTAACAAGTCGCAGTTCGACGACCTCATTCAGAAAGCAAAGATGGGCGCGTCGAAGGACAAGAAGCTGCGCGATGCGGCCGGCAGCGAAGCCGACAGCGCACAACAGCCGACGACCATCCATGGCACTCACGAGGGACAGAATCCAAATTCCGAATCGCAGCCGCACGTCATCACATCCAGTCCAGCATTGCCCGAAGCAGGCACAGATCTCATGGCAGCTGTGCGGTCCGATTCATGATGCCTGCCGTCGCTGTCCGTCGCCTGCCGGCAAATGGAAGCAGCAATTCGACCGTAGTGGCACAAAGCATAGTAGGCGAAGCAGACTCATGTCCTTACCCAGCACAAAATCATGACGAGCGAATGAGACACCACCCGGGCAAGTCGAGAATCCTTCTCTGCCAGTGCCTGCAATCAAGCTCATCGCCACCCTCGACTTCTGCGCGTGGTGCTTGTCTTTCATATCTGAATGACGTCGCGCCACATTTGCGGCGGCGTGTGATTATAGCGTGGACTGTGACTTTAGCGCGAGAGGTCACCGCGCTGTCCCACCCACTTTCTGAAATCACGGATGGCTGAGTCGTCTTCGCGACGTGACTGCGCAAACAGGCGTCCAACGGAGGCTCAGTCGAGACGTCTGCGCAGCCAACTGAGCGCTTAAAAGCAGTCCAACTCGGTCGCCTGGCTTGCTTCTCGACTTCCACCTCTCTGTGCCATCTCGTACAGCGATCCACTTTCCAAAGCAATTCATAGAGTCATCCGCCATGGCACAAGATAAGCCAAAGCCTGCTTCCGGCAGTCCCGAGCCGGAGACGCTCGATATCAAGCGCAAACGATCCCTTGACGACGACAGCGACAGCGAGCAAAGTCGCTCTCCGATGAAGAAGACTCCCTCGTCGGGCGCCTCTGATAATGCCGCTTCGACCAAGTCTTTCAATTTGATAGGTTTCCCGGACGAGCTCCTGGTCCTCATCATCCACCTGCTCTTCCTCGACATCTTCTGTAGCGAACCGACGCACTCCTGCCCACGATATCGTCGTGCGGAATGTGTGCGCTGCTTCCTCGTCGACTGGTTCAACTACACGCTCCCATACGTCAACAAACGCATCCACGACCTCATGGCCCCGAGCCTGTTACCCTGTCTCGCCATCGGTGAAAAAATGACCTCTGCCGAGTACCCTGTCACCTCCTTGTCTTCAGACGCGTCCGCCGTACTCTTGCCGCATATTCGTCATCTCTCCATCAACTACCATGGACTCACAGAAGAGTCTCACGCTAGACGTGATACCTGCAAGATTGCTCACGCCTATCTCGTCATACTTGGTAGCGCTCCCAGCCTAGAGACGCTCGAGATCGATGACCTTGTTAAGACGTATGGTGATGGCCCGGACGATTGGAGCGAATTCAAAATTGTACCCTTCAACAGATACAGGCAAGCTTCGCCTTGGCAATTCGACCTGACCTGTTCTCGTCTCTTGAAAATGTTGCCCGACACGAACGAGGCTCAACTTCTTCCCCGCTTTCAAGAACTTATCCAACGAGTCGGCATCGGCTTCCCCAAGCTACGACGTGTTCTTTTGATGGATGGCAACGGAGGCGTTTCGGTGGATGATTATGCAAACCTCTTCCTCATCCCTCGCGATGTCTGCAGCCTACCTCAAGACTGCACCGACGGTCTAGACGTATGCAGCGACGACTCATCGAAATGTCAAGCTCTCACCAGCGCATGCCCTTCGATCGAATCGCTCACGCTTGTGTTGTGGTACTCGTGCACTCTCATTGATGCAGACTTACTTGCTGCCATGCGTCATCTCAAGCAACACCACCCCTCGTTGAAGCAGCTTAAGCTCATCTCTCGTCGCTTTCGATGTGAGAAAGGGTCGAAGTACGAGATCGACGAATGGTTCCGCTCCAAAGCCATGCCGATTCTCGAGTCGGCGTCAGCTCAGCTGCTCGAGTACAGGTTAGAAGTCACGATCTACATCATGACAAACTACAGATCTCACGCAGCCATCAAAGATCTCATCCGACAGCACCGCCAGAAGGTCTTGGCGAACGACCCAGAGCATTACGTGGCGTTCGAGGCATTGAACGTCAGCGAGTTCAGTCCCACCACGGTCTACAACGTTGTCGCAGAAGCTTTCCGCGAAGACTGCCGCCTCGAGGAACTATTGCGCCCCAAGTCAGCGGCGAATCGACCAGCTGGATGGATCAAGGAGTCGACCGTCGAAGGCTTCTTCCGCCGAGGGACATCGTACTATTAGATGCTCGCGACGACATCTCCCGCCAGCGGCTCTGCGACTTTGACGAGGTCGAAAGGTGGTGTCAACAAGCGAATGCTCTGAACAAAATCCGCTGTTCTCTGTCCTCTCAATTACAATGTATCTACATCACGCAAAAAACGTGGCAATAACAGCTTTGACAACGTAGACGCAGGCTAGGCGACAAACGGACATCATGAGGTCAGATCTTAGCTCAACGTCGCTACAGTGAGAGCCGAGAGCTCACGGCCGGAATCTTACAGCCTCGCTTAGCGTCCGAGGAAGTGAAAGATCCAAGACGTACGCTTTCCGTTGGTGGTGAACCCAGATGAATCGTGTGCATGACGTTCACATTCTGATCGCGTCACGCAGCGGCCAAAGCTGTCGGACAAGACCCTTCCGGCGGAATTCCCGAAAAGTGAGGTTGCTGCCGCGAAGAATTGATTGCCGAAGCAACTATTATGTAGCCGGTGCGAGTCACGCCAGTCGTACATTCCATCGGCTTGGCCTCATCAACTCCAAAGCCATCATATCACCTTCGTCTTAGGAGAAGTCGAACACCCTGCGCTAACGCCACTCGGAGACGACGCGGAAGATGACGCTCGACGCGGCGGCCATCGCACCATCACCCTCGCTCAAAACCCCCACTTCTAAATCAAGACAACCATTAGACATCGTCGACCTGACCCCCGAACAACGCTCGACCCTCACCCTACAGGTTCACCGCCATACGCCGTCCGCACCGATATCGGAAAACGTCCTGACCACCTTCACGTCCGTCATCAACGCCGCCTTCCACGATGCAGAGCACGTCGTCAACTTTGGCGATAAGCAGCGCTACCCCACGAACCAGCTGCTGCTCGACGATCTCAACCATGGCGAGGAGGGCGCATGGGTGTTCCTCCTCGTCACTGCCGAGTGCACGGCCGTGGCGGGAGCCAAGATCACTCTCAGCGGGGAGGGTATGGATGGCGGACCGGGTGTGCACACGCGTCCCAACCCGGACTATTCGTCACCTCACGGCGCGGACCAGCTGAAAACGTTCTGGCTCGGCGCGCTAGGATCCATCTCCCCCGGCGTCGGTCGCATGCTCATCGACCACATCAAGGCGTTTCTCTCGAAGCTCCAAGACGGAGCACCTTTCAGGATACGCGCATACACAGTGGCCCAGTGGGGCGTCGATCCAGACTACTCAATACCCCAGAACGCCTCCTTGCCCAGCTGGTTCAAGAGGCAAGGCTTCGAGGTGATCGATTACAGCTGGAAGCCGCCGGGCACATGGCAGAGCTTCTACGGCGCTTGTCTGTGCGCCATCGAGTACGTGCATGCGCATTCTGCTGCGGGCGGACAAGACAGCTAGAAGTGCCGCAGCTCACGTCACAGACGCACTCAAGGGCAGCTCTACGAAGGCATCAGGCGACGTTGGTGGAGCACCGACTTCAATCGAGGGATCGGAATGGCACTTCAAGACAAATGACAGAGCGGATCTGCGATTGCAAAGAGCTGGTCCACAGCTGTGCGACTCAGGCTGAGACGAAGCGTGTACGAAAGCGTTCATTCGATCACCTCCGAGCTCGTGCAGAGCAGCGCAGCGCTGCACATCTTTGCCTGACGAGGGCCCGCGAGGCCAGCCACATCAATCCCGCTCGTCCACCTTGTGCCGTTTGCCTTTGCCCATCGTCCTGTCCGTCGAATCTTTGGGCGCGTGCGGCAGCTGCTCCGACGAATTTTTGTGGCCCGCCCACTGCAGAATGCACATCGTCCAGGTCGAGACGAGGATCGGGTCAGCATTGGGTCTGCGCGATTGAACGCGGCGAAACAGGTCAGCGACGCTGTAGGACTCACCTTGGGAATATCGTCGTCCAGATCCATCACACGCTCGCCGTAGAAGATGTGCGCTGTCGGGGCGAAGACGGCGGGAACGACATGGTCTTTGAACACGAACGAGGACGGGTAGCTGTTGGAGCAGGGCGGAAGCGCGAATCGTAAGCATCGAGTCAGCAAGAAGTCATCAGAACTCGGTAGAGCTTGACGGGCACTTACGCCATGACCATGTTTCGTCCCTCGTCACTGTTCGACCGTACAAAGCAAGATGGGGAGTTCACGTCAGTACCCAACCAAATCGCCTCTTAGCTCATTACCACACCGGACCAACTCACGCCATCGGACTTCGGCAGTTTCTGCAGCTGATCTTGCACGGCACGCTGTGTTCGCTGTGCCCCTCCTGCGTGCTGAAAAAGTCCAAGTTGAGCGGATCGCAGTGCTTGGCGAGGCGTACCGAGGTCTTGTGAAACAGCGCCGCCCATTGGAACGGTGCGCCGTGTAGACGCTGGCATTGTGTGCAGTGGCAGTGCTTGGCGTCGATCGGGTCGCCGTGGTATTCGAATTCGACTGTGTTGGATGGAGCGATGTTGAAGACGCGAAGGAGATCAGATGGGTGGTGCTGACTGCAGGCCAAAAGAGGTATGGCTGTACGTACGCTTTCCGCACCAACACTTGGCACGATACTTGACCTGGAACTCCTTCGACTCCCAAGAGTAAGGCGGCTGTAATCGGAAGCCAGGACAGATACACGTTGAAGGTGAGTCGATATGCCGGATGTCCCGCATCCAGAGAGACCGCCGAAAGCCTTACCTTTTGCAAGTATCCTTCCTCGCGACCGCCGTCTTTGGCCGGGATAGGACCGTTCCAGCCGGCTGCATTCAATGCAATGTCAATCAAGGGATGGTACTTGTCAGAATAGTGTTGGTGGTGCCGATGTCGAAGCACGATGAACAAAGCTCACTGTTGGGAGGCTCTCTGAGCTGATGACCTTGGCTGCATCTCTGAGCGCCTTGCTCGGCTTTGCCGTTGCTGTTCTGCTTGCTGTTCTGTCCGGGCATCGTGGTCGAGAAACGCTGTCGACACGAGGGCTGCTCGGACGTGCGTTTGACTGTGTGATGTGAGCTGATGAGCTTGGTGGTGGTGTAGAGACCGAGTGTCGATTGAGATAGGAACAGCTGAGAAAGAAGAGAGGAGCGCTTCGACAGGTGACGAGAAAGCATGACGCGGGGAAGATCGATACGGCTGCTTGCTTCTCAAACACCGAGAACAATTGGGCGTATTATATCAGCTCCTCGGCTGCGAAGGTGGTCCGCGACCAGGCTCAGAGGTCGCACCAGCCCGGGCAGAGTCAATTTTGCCGTCAACGCATGCACAGATGGCATGGCTACTAGCCAGCAAGGGTCACCACTGAGTCAGACTGCAAGCCAGGCAAGAGGCGGAGGCGGCGGCTGCTCACGTCAGATGGAGGCAAACCTTGCAAGCCACGAGTGGAAGCTCCTGCGCGGAGTCGTGTGACAGCTTGGTCGCTCGCTTGGAGCGCTGTGCAAATCGAAACAAAGACGTCGCTGACGTTGGTACGAATCTGCAAGCGAGTCGACAAGAGCGGAAGAGCAAAGCAAGTGGAGCCATCAGTCATCAATGCTGCACCTGACGTGCATATCCTCACACATCAATTTGCGCCATCTTGCACATCGAAAAGAAAGCTGAAAATGATGCATCGAAATAGGGTCCAGAGGTGACATCTCTGCCGAGCGGGAGCGGTAACTGAGCAGCGCCCTGCCTCGGTGCCTGGACCCTGGCTCATGATGAGCACTGATCAGTGAACAGCGATCGACATGCCTCTCACCGCCTGATGTTGCTCGAACGACACGGACAGCTCGGTACCATGGAAGCCGTCTAGTCCAAGCACAGCGTGCGCTCTGAGCGCCGACAGCGAGCTCTGAAAACGTTGAAAGGACTCTCGCTTCCAGTCCTGTGTCTGCTGTCTATCAACCTGCTCGCCATCGCCCTTCCTAGCTTTGCCGACAAATCCCTGTCGTCGCTCTTCCGGTACCGCGGCCTGTCACATCATGCACGCAACACTCCAAATAGGACCTCGATGTCCGATCCGCTGGCATTGTTCCGCTCCAACACTGTCCTGCCAGCCTTGGCAAGTCAACGATCTCGCGACGGTGAATGGGATTTCAAACATCGAGCCCAAGACGGTCCCATCCTGTATGGCCTCTTCCGCGTGCTGCCTACGTAAGTGGCCTCTCTCTAGCGTGGGTCAGGACACCTTCTTTCGCTCGCAGCGGTTCTACCGAGCCAAGAAGTGGAAAAAATGGAGTGCAATAGCGAGGCGC